ACTTGCTCGAAGAGCATTTGAGCTCGATCGTGCAAGACAGCCCGGCGCTGCGCTACTTTCGCGAGTGCCGAAAGCTCAGTGAGCCCCAGCCGCGCATTACGAGCTTGAAGACGATCATGAAGCAGCGCTACTCGACGACCATGTCCGAGCCCGCGGGACCGGAAGAGCGCTCGTTCGGGTCGGCCCAAAGCTCGTGGTCGCTGCGCCAGGCCAAGGAAATGGACTGGAACCTCGCGATGCCCGCCGAGTGCTTTGTGTGCCGCACGCTCCTTCGCGCCGGCGCGCCAACGGCGTGTGCCACGTGCAAGAAGGTACTATACATTCGTCGTCCTCTCGATCGACAATATTGACCACGAAGCGTAGACGGCCTGCGCCGAGTGTTGCCGTCCCAATAGCGAGCCGCGCCAATGCCTCGTGTGCGCCGAAAAGAACGACGACGGCCGCCCGCTGAAGCGCATGACGCCCCAGCACGCACAGGTCTACACGCGCCGGTCGTCTACGTCGTCCGGCGTGTCGCAGCAATGTAAGGACTCGCGTCATGGACGACCCGAAAGCTCACACGAGAACGAGTAGGCACGACACCCGGCCGAGTGCCGGCCCGAGGACACCGCCGGGATCCCATCGACCTCTCGTACCTCAATCGCCTCTAAGCGGGTCTACCTCGATGCGGTCGAGGCAGGGATTTGTATATTTAACATCATGCATCGTCTTCGCGTATTTTCGAACGAGAGCACATGGTAGGGCATGCCGCAAGCCAGGATAGTGCAAACGGCTACCTAAGGCATCCCTGCCCACCGACGACGAGGTGGCGAGGACGATCGCCATCAGCATAGCCATGAACGACAACGCCGCTTCGTCCGAAAGCATCCAAGAAGGACGTGGCAATCACCCAACTACAGTACTGGTGCTGGTATACTGATAGGGAAAGCACCGGTCATATAGACACGGGGCGAAGCTAGATGTGCGAGGGCAGACCCAATTCGACCCGTCGTACGTGTGGCGGCGCATAGACGGGCAGAGCCACGACCGGCGCACAGAAAATAGAGCGGTTCGATATTTTCAGCCAATCAGACGCCGCCATGCATAATCGATTGGCGCGCTTTCCTGGAACCGAAGGTGTCGCGAGCACGAATGTCGACGCCGACGCATCGGCACCTGTAGCGACTCGAACAAATACCACAATCGACCAACTGCAAATGTCCTGTTGGTTGCATACAGGTTCTACTTGTTCATAGTACGATCTACAGGCCGAGCAAGTACTTGATGCCTGCCGTGCCCATGCCACCAGCAAAGATGAACGGCACGACGAGCCAGGACGACGCCATGAGCATCGCCGTGCCGGAGAAGCCGTGGCCGGACGTGCAACCGCACGCGGTGCTTGCACCAAACGCAATCATGGCGCCACCAATGATCGACGGCAGTGTCGACGGCATTGGACCCGCGGCTTCGAGCGGCGTCCCCGAGATGAGCGACCCGCCGACAATACCGAGCGCGAAGAGCACTTGCAGCGCCGCGCTCGAGCGCGGGAGCGAGAGCCACGACGGGTTGCCGGCGACGTGCGAGAGACCAGCGACGGCCTCGCCGAGGATGTACTTCATGGCCGCCGAGACTCCGAGGGATTTGCGCACGAGAAACGCCAGCGGCAACTGGAGCGCACCGACGACCGCGCCAGCAATGCACGGGTACCACGCCGACGGCGCGATCGGCTCCCGCAAAATGAACTCCAAGGCGACCGAAAACCCGACGCAGCCACACCCGAGAAGCGTCTGCAGGAGCGCGCTCACCGGCAGCGTCGACGCGATCTTGGACCGGGTCATTTCCCACTTGGCAATCTACAGCATGCAAAGAGACGGTGAGGAAACGATTCATAAGCAGATGATGGCATCGTACGGGCGCGCGGAGGATCATGGCGAGGAGCGTGCCAAGGATGGTGCCACCAAAGCACGCGGGCGCCGACGCGATCTGCGCGCCGAGCTGGACGTAGACCGTGCCGGGGCACGAGCCGCTGATGGTCATGCCCGCGCCGAGGATCGTCGCGCCGACCACGAGGACTGTCGACGTGCTCGGGTCCGACGCGCGCGCGGCCTGCATCTTTTCAAACTCGCTCGGCTGCGACACGCGGAAGATGGCCTTGGAGATGAGCGACGTGCCGAGGGCGGCCATGAAGAGCTTCATCATCGTGAAGCGCTGGAAGGCCATTTGGTCCATAATGACAAACGGCAGGTAGACCTGGGCCTTGTTCATCGCAAAGCCAAAGACGAGACCGGTCGCGAGGACGGTGACGCCTGTCAAGACGCGGCGACCGACCGACGGCTCGCTACTGGCCTTGAGGCGCTCCGACTCCATCAAATTCGCGTCCATTTCAAAACTGCGAGGTTTCGAGGGACGTCGTGAAGAGAAGAGACGCCAAATAGACACTGTGGTTCCTCGCCGCGCGATCGTACGACACCTCGTCTAGGTTTCGTCAACCGTACCAAGAAGGCCTGTCGAGTACAGGCGAGGCGTCCATCGCAGTTCCAATAGCAGCGACAGTGGCGCGATCGATGCTCGCGGGGACGGCGATGCTGCGTGCCCTTGACGCCGCCTCCTCGTCACAGCCGTGGTGGAGCAATGATCATTGCGTCATCGGTGGCGCTACGTGATCGCGCGCACTCACCAACAGGCGGCGCCGAGTACCCAGGTATACGTACACTACCACTGTAGTGGCGAAGGTCCGAACTTCAGACCTCAGACTCTGAAGAGACGCGAGGACGACATTGCGACTGTATACAATTTGCACACACTGCCGCACGGCTGTGCTGAAAAGTAATACTGACTAGTGTACTTGGGTATCCAAGCCGACGGTGTCGCTGCTGCTCCAGGCCAAGCGACATACTATGTGGTGGGCGTTCGAGTGGTCAAGGGGTCTGGGAGGGTTAAAAATGAGTCGTGTTCTAGGATCGTCTTGTGTTGTTGTGGTGGTGTGGTGGCACCGGGTATTTAGGAGTCGTCTCGTCGTATCCGTGCAGCGTGCTCTTCACTCGGCGACGGCTTGAAATCGCAGCATGACGGGCTTGGCGATGTTGCGCAGTACCTTGGTCGTGTTGTCAAAACCGAGGTCCACGGCCTTCATCGAGCCAATCTCAACAAGGACATCGCCAACGGCTACGCGGCGCAGGCCCGCACACGTGCTCCGGCCCGTCTTGCGCGTCACGACGGGCACCGGGCCCTTGTCGGTCGCGAGCTCCTTGACCGTGAGTCCAAACGGACCGTCGCTCCATGTGACAGCGTACATGCTGGCTTCGTCCAGCGTGAGGGCGGGCGGCGCGACCGAGCTCCGCTGCGAGAGCGTGTCGTCGTATGTCGTGTCGGCGCGCGCGAGGCGGAAGCGCAGCGTCGCGGGCTTGGGCACCGACTTGATGACTTCCATGGACTTTTCGAACCCGAGGTCGGCGCACACACGGTCGTTGATCATGATGAGCTCGTCGCCGGGATGCACGAGCTTGAGGTGCGGCGAGTGCCCGCGGCCCGTGAGCCGCTTGACGTACGGGAGCTCGGTGGACGTGACGCCCATGGTCATACCGAGGCTGCCCTCTTCCCAATAAAATTCGTACTCGCCTTCGAGCACGGGCGGCAAGACAGGGCCCGACTTGACGGCCTCCGCGTCGGTACCCGCGCGCTTGAAGCGCATGATGAGCGGCTTCTTGAGGTCCTTGAGCATGCCCATGAGCGCCGGCATCTTAAACTCGCGGGTTGCGTTGGCATTGATGTAGAGCAGCGTGTCACCTTCCTTGACGACGCGCGCGGCCGCCGAGACGTTGGACGAGACGCGCTTCACGATCGGCATCCGGTTCGCCGGGTCCTCGACGAGCACGAGACCGAGGGACCCGCCTTCCCAGTTGAAGTCGTACTCGTTCCGGCGACGCGGCGGCATCATGCGCACATCGAACTCTTCGTCGCACTCTTCCGAGATGTCCGTGTTGGTCAGCGACGCCCGCCGCTTGCGCTCGTCGTGGCGGTAGCTCTGCCGACCGCCGACCGTCGACGGCTCGCTGTACTCACTGAACGACGACGACGTCGTGGACGAGGCGTACGAAGACGGGACCTTGTGTCGCTGCGGAGGCGCAAACGCCGGCTCGGCGTAGGGCTGCTGTGGTTGTTGTTGTGGTTGTTGTTGCGGATGCGGATGCTGCATCTGGCCGTGTCGCGACCAGCCTCGAGTTGCTGCCGTTGGGCGCGTAGCCGATGCTGCAAGTCTTGCACAGTCGGTGGCGGCGCTGTCGCATTTGGTCGGGCATGCCGAGACGTCGCGTGTGGCGGCTGCCGGCTGTGCGTTGTTTGATGTGATGGCGGTTGCTGGTATTGCGGTGCATGGTGCGCTTGCGACGGCGGCTCTTGCTGGTAGTACTGCTGGTGCGTCGGCGGGGCTTGCTGGTACTGCTGCTGGTGCGTAGGTGGGGCTTGACGCTGGTTTGGTGACGCGTGGTGATACTGCTGTTGGTGCGCTGGCGGCGGGTGGCGGTGATGTTGCTGGTGCGGTGGCGGTTGCTGGTACTGCTGCGGCGCGACGTACTGGTGCTGTGGCTGCTGCGGCCGCGGCGGCGCCTGCAGCTGCTGTTGTTGCTGTTGCGCCGGCGACTGGCGCGTGTGGCCGTAGTCATAGATGGGCGATCGGCCTTGGGACTGCCGGCCGGGCGCACCGCCGTTGGTCTGGTTCGCGAGCCGCAGCTTGAGCTGCTCCATGCGCTGGCCCACCTCGTCCGTCATGACGTCGGCCTTCCGGGCTCTCTTTGCAATTGCGTTACGGGACGTCTTGTATTCAGTCCTTGCGTATCCGGATACATGTCTGCCGGGGCTAATTGTGGCGTCTCACGCCACATCTTGGCCGTCACACTTTTGAATATGGCGAGATGCCACCTTTAGAGCGGACACTTGTAAAAGCAGCGCTCCGTTACCAACCAGGCCTTTGATACAAATACCGTAAGCCTTCACGTCAAGTCGCAGGCCCTATTCAACTTTTCGACGCGTAGGACCTGTCGCCGCCTCTGTCGCTTCTTGACGACTGCGCCGTCGCTATTAGCGCCCTTGCACGTCTTGACACTGTACAGTACATGTCCTTGGAGTAGTACACGCCTCCCGTGGCGACGTTGCACTGCAACACACCCTGCCATAGTACAGTGTACTAGGGCACCCAGTAGGCGCGATTACTGCGACGCGAAAGCACCTTGCCGCGCACGAATGCCGATGGCGTCACAGAGAGTCACATGCATGTAGAAGAGCCTCGAGACTGCCACATGCAATGGCAACCAACGGTAGCACTTAGCAGGACGTTTGCCGCTGCCTTGGCCAAGGTGGAGCTTGAGTGGTAGCGTTGAGGGCACGTGAAGAAGACGGTTTGGTCGACAACATATACCATTGGGCATATTACCATAGCATGGATTTGCGAACGACTGTTAAAGGACATACTCGAGCGCGGCTGTGGACATGCCACCGAGAAAAATGGACGGGAGCACGAGCCAGGACGAGGTCATGAGCATGGCGGTGCCCGAGAGGCCGTGGCCGGACGTGCACCCGCCCGCGAGGCTCGCGCCAAACGCAATAAGTGCGCCGCCGACGATCGAGCGGAGCGTGCTCGGTGCGTAGGCGACAGCTGCTTCGGGCGACGTCGCAGCATAGGACCCGGCGAGAATCCCGAGAATAAAGATCGCTTGCGATATGTCCGAGAAGCGGGGCAGCCACGACGCCGTCGGTTGCATACCCATGGCGCTACAGAGAGCGCTCGAGACTTCACCGAGCGCAATCTTCATGCCAGCCGATGCGCCGAGCGACTTGTGGAGAAGACATGCCATTGGCAACTGCAGCGCGCCGACCACAGCCCCGGCAACGCTTGGGCGCCACGACGAACTGGACAGGCGTTCGGGGACGACGACGACTTCGAGAACGGTTGCCAGAGAGAGGCACGTGAGGCCGAGAAGCGCCTGCGTCAACGGGCCGAAGGGCATTGTGGTTGCTACCTTGGGCTTGTCTGCTTGCCAGTCGGCGATCTACATATTGCAAATGCAAGACGTGTGTGAAGCTCCTACATCCCATATAGCGGATCGTACGCGGAAGCGAAGGGTGCCGGCGGCGAACGTGCCCAGCGCAGTGCCAGCAAGGCACGCGAGCGCCGACGGGAGCTGCGCGCCGAGCTGGACGTACACGGACCCGGGGCACGAACCGCTGACGGTCATGCCCGCACCGAGAAGGACGCCGCCGAGCATGAGCACGGTGGACGTACTCGGGTTGCTCGCGCGGCTGGCCTGCATACGCTGGAACGTCTCGGGCTGCAAGACGCGAAAGACGGCTTTGGACACAAACGACATGCCCAGCGCGCCGAGAAACATCTTCATCATCGTGAATCGCTGGAAGCCCATTTGCTCCATGATGACGAGCGGAAGGTACACTTGGCCCTAGTACTTGTGTGTGCACTGACATCGACGCAAGGGCCGCATGTACCTTGTTCATCGCAAAGCCAAACGCCGCGCCTGTCGATAGGAGCACGATCGTGTGATGTGGCGGCGGCAACGACGGGCCAAGGCTGGCGCTTGGGGTCTTCATGGAAAATTGAAAGATAATAATCATGTACGAGGCTCCAGCTGAGTCGTGGACGCCAAGAGGTTGCGTGGGTGGCAGCGCTACGTCATCGCAATTACACGGGCAGCTGCCGTCGTGGACCACAGCGCGATGGCGCGCACAGTGTCGATCGCGCCGATGTAGCCAATCACACGCTCTCCAAGGCAAGTTCAAGCGCGGATTGCGTCATCTTTGGACCACCGGATTCGCCAATCAACGGCAAGGTCGAGCAATCTTGGCTCACCGTGCGCGAGAAGAGAAGACCGTGCACCCGAGCCAAGGTCTTCACTGTATCGCTGCTGGCTTGAGGGTGCCGTCATAGTATGAGTTCGCCCGCCATGCAGTGCGGACCGAACGACTGCAAAAATGATCGACGCGGAGACAAAGGACTGCGAGATGGGATCCTTGGTCCTTGGCCTAGCTCATCGCGCCTCGTATATGCGCATCACTGGAAGCATCAAAGGGCCTACATGGGTGTAGGAAGCGACGTCGCATCAAGGATGCTTGGTGACCCTTGGTCGCATCCATGTGCCAAGTCACTCGATTTTCGACGGCGGCGATCGTTGGCAGCCGCCTAACCTCATCGATGTGATTCTATTGCGTTGTCCACGGCACTACGTCATCGCCATTACGAGTTGCAGTAGAATCTAGACTATAGAATATCGAAGCATGTTTTGATATACAAATGACAATATTGTCATTGTGAGGTACCATAATAGTACCCTCGAGCACGCAGGTCGGACGATGACACAGCATCGCATACTAGTACTATGATAGTCCTCGTGATATCGGCGCGTATACCGCGAACTACAAACGCGTCTCTAGCACCGGCGAACGCATACGAAGGTCGACGCGAGAGGACGCGCGTCTCAGTGATACACGGCTGTCGCTGATCGGTGATGAACGCAAACGTCGTTATCCGCAAGCTTCAACCAAGCGCGTTTACGCAGCCTTGTATTTTTTATTTTGTTGGCTTCCACGACGATGCACCGCCTGCTTCCACACCTTCCGCACGAGGCCGTGCCCCTCGACGCGCTCCTCGATATGACTTCGGACGACGACGAGTCCCTCAACGAGGCCGACCTTCTGGGCCCTGCGACGCCGCTGGACTTCCTGGACCCATTCGTGGACGCGACCAAGAGCCGCCGCCTCTGCCGAGCGAGCGGCTGCGAGAAACGATCGCGCTCCCACGGTCTCTGCATCGCGCACGGCGGCGGGCGTCGTTGCGCCGCCGAGGGCTGCCCGCGGTCGAGCCAAGGGGGCAACTTTTGCATCAAGCATGGCGGTGGCAAACGCTGCAAGATCCAAGGGTGCAACAAAGCGGCCCAGTCGGCGATGCTCTGCAAAGCCCACGGCGGCGGCCCGCGCTGCGTAGCGCCCAACTGCCAACGGAGCTCCCAAGGTGGCGGCTACTGCCGATCGCATGGCGGCGGCAAGCGATGCACCGTCGATGGCTGTGAGAAAGGCGCCCAGCGCGGTCAGTTTTGTACTCTCCACGGCGGCTCGCGGCTCTGCGTTGTGGTCGGCTGCATGCGCAACGACCGCGGTGGCGGCCTCTGCGCGACGCACGGCGGCGGCAAGCGCTGCTCGTTTGATTCTTGCAGCCGTCCGTGTCGACGCCACGGCCTCTGTGCCATGCACCTTCGCCTTGCAGGCCCAAGTGCACCGACCACACCACCTCAACTACCCGTGTGAAACTAGTATATTGTATGTATCATTGTTTTTCGTCGTGGGAACACGAACAACTCGTCGACTAGTGCCTCGCTGCTTCGTTCCCTCGTGTCCGTGGCTGCGAGGAGACCTCGGGCGGTGGTCGTCAAGACAGCGTCACAGGCCGACCGTAATCGCGTCGTTTACTGACCGGCTTTCCGGTCATCTGAGTGCTTCCTTGCAGCAGAGACAAGCCATGTTGCGACGCACGGTCCTGGCGCAGGTACAGCGATGAGGGTCGTGGGCCGTGCGAACCCTAACCCTATCGGGAACAACGCTGTTATAAACCTAATGTTTACAAACACAAGATCTGATATTATTCCATTGAAAGGTATACTAGATCGATCCATCACCATGACCACAAGTATACTGGATCGATCGAATGGGATCCAAGATGACGTGTACGTTCGGTTAGGCGTGGGCGCGGGCGACGGCAAGCGCGACCATGGCGTCCCACGTGCGCTCAAAATACTGGGCCCAAAGGCGCATGAACTTGACCTCCCGCTTCGTCGTGCTCTTGAGATGACACTGAAGCGTCATCGCGTCCGCGAGGGTCTCGTCGACGCTGTCTGGAATTGCGTCGTGCTCGACCGAAAGCTTGGACGTAAGCACGAGCTTGACGCGCGCCTCGTTCGTGTCACAGGGTTCGACGAGCAGCCTGCGCGCAATGAGCTTTCACAAAAGGAGACATGCGCCTACCAACCACACTCGTTGTCGGCTATGGCACCGCCGGTTGCTGCGCCGCCTGCGTCTCTGGCCACCGAGCTAGCATTCATCAGTATATAGCATCTCCATATCTGTGGTGTACCGCCACACAAAGACGATGCGGTCAGCCTCGAGGTACCGCTTGACGACGAGGTTGCCCTGAACAGAGATGGGTGCGGTCGGGTCGGGCGAGAGGTTGGCGCTAAACGCTACATACGCAGCGTTCGCATCGAGCAGCTCGCCGCACTACATATCGCACCCTGCTCCAGCCATTCCAAGTCTAGTCGTCGAAAGTTTTACCTGGTACAGCGCACCAGGCTGCTGGGAATAGTCGACGCCACTACTCCAGATGCGCCAAACGGCGTCGGCAAGCGTAGTCCATGGCACGGCGACGGCATAGCTGCGCACCATCTCGATGGCTTTGGCGTTGCTAAGCGGGTCGCAGCAGCAGCGCAGCGCCGGTGCGCACGCCGTGCTATTGGATTCGAGGCCGTTCTTGACGAGGACGGCTTCGAGCCGGTCGTACTCGTTGTCGACCAGTGCATGCAACTCGGCGGCCGTCTCGCTCGGCTCGAGGCGCCACGCATCGCGCTCGACGGAGCTGCTGCTAGACGCCTACAGCAATAGAAGACGGTTTGTGCTGCACATGGTGGAGGACGCGATGTACCGAAGCGAGGCGCGGCCGCTTTGTAATGAGGCGTTGAAGCTCGTCCGCGAGCGCCAAGTGCTCGTACAGAACGGCGCGGAGGCTCTCGTTGTCGCGAAGCGCCTGTCGGTGCTGCGCGCTCTGCTCGAGCGCGGCGGCTTCCCACGACGCCGGTGTCGCAAAGTCACGCTCGATGCACTGTAGCGTCCGCAGCGTCGAGACACGCTCCGAGAGATCGCCCACCGTTCGTTTCAGATCTGCCATTTCATCCTTGAGCTTGGCGCGGTCGCGCTTGCAGCGCTGCGCACGGTCGGCAAGCCGCTTCTCCTTCTTCGAGAGACCACCGCCACTGCAGCACGTGGCAGCTTGCGCACCGCGTGGAGAGCTGCTACAGCAGCTCGATGTATCACTGCACGACGTCACCGCGTCGCTGCACGAGGCTGTACCCGCG